AGTAAGAGACATACCCGGGATATAAACAGTTTGATGGGTTGTGTCTTCCTAAACCAAAAACACAAGCAGAATGCATTAAATACATCTGTAACTGATCATTACTTCCAAGGCCACAGAGCACATCATTAACTAACTACATTAGTTTGTGGGGCTACAAGGTACAAAAAAAAAAAAAAAACGGTTCACGATGAGCACATCTGCTACGGCTAACATTAGCTGGCCTGTCCTGTTGTTTATTGGATTTGGGGAAGTTTACACTTCACCAACTCTGACTAACAATACCAAAGATACTGTATCAGCCAAACACACAAGAAAGTAAATGACTTCTGACAAAAAATAGTCCAGTTTATGTTTCAGATGATATGCATTTCTTTTGATTTTGTTTGGTTTTCCTTGAACTCCCTCATTCCTTCATATACACAGTACTTGATAGTTGAATTAGCTTACCATTTTCTAAATGTCAGCGTGGTGCCCCTATGTCTTTGCAGTTGTTTTTGATCAAGGTCTATTTATTGAGTATTTTCTCAGTGTACAAAAATACAGAGTGTTCTATCCAGTCTAATACCAAGTGACCTGCACCAATGAATAAAAGTTATTCATTTCCGATGACTACCAAAGAGGAGAAACGTATCACATACTTTGCTTCCATTTTTTTCTAAAAATGTCAAGAGTTGCTGCCAAACCACATAGAATATCAGAGCCAACCCTTGGAGAGAGTATCTTATCTTGTCCCAGCAGTTTTGTTGATGCTTCTTGTCTAACTCCCGGTCATGTATAGATTAATTTAGTCCATAAATCTGTCCCTTCCAAGAAGTGGTAACATCGGAAACCATAATTAACAGAGACAGAACATTACTGAATACCAGATGCTTCTTATTAACAGTAGTGCAACAGCTAAATTAGCTTCTGAAAGATATCTTCTTGGGCGCTGGATGAGAGATTGTTGAATAAGACTTTGATTCGTCTTTCACATTATCATTAGGTTTTTATTTCTTGATGAAAAATGTAATACCTTTCATCATATTTCCTGCTTTCCCGCTTTTTTTTTTTATGTGGTTTTAGTTTCGTCAGTGAATGTTTTTCGTCACAGCTTCATTGCCTGAAGTAACACTGCTTATTGTATGTTTTGTGTCTGATTAGCTGGCCGTTGTCTATTAGAATCACAGTTCCGGTCTGGTGAAACTAATCTCAGTATGCGTTGAAGTGACTAAAACACAGCTTGTCTTTGTTCATCTTGTCAGTGGACATGATATAAAAGAAGAAATAGACCACCAGGTGTTCTGATATCAGACAATTACCAACTCTCGTCTTTTTTTTTTTTCTTTTTTTAAACAATATAAGGACACTCAGAGTGTGTGGGAACAGTAGCTGGTCAGATTCCAACATAATAACTGCAGGGTCAGTAGCAGGAAATACCAACAAACACCCAGTGAATGTGTATGTGTATATGTAATGCAGAGTTCCTGTCTGACATTTACCCAAACAGTCTGTCTGCTCCACCACTGTCTTTCTGTCTGTAACTATTTTTATCAGTTTGGATAAAACCAAACTGGTAGCTGATGAAGTAGTTATACGTTGTAGAATAGAATTCTTAGAAAGAAAGTGTTTTCTTTGACCACTCTGTTGTTCAAGAGTGTTGAAATTTTAAAAGAAAATTTCTGCCTCTTTTCCTTTCTTCCTGTCTCTCGGGTTTATTTACTGATTGAAGGTCTGGAATAAATCACAGGGCAGTTTGAGTTCTTCAGTGACTCCTTTAAGACAAATATTTTTCCCGTCAACGTAAACTAAACACATCTATCACCAGTTGTATGTCACTTCATAGTTCAAACTGCTTATAAAGTCATTGTTTATTGAGTCCAGTAACATTGGATTAAAACTGTTTGACTCACACAAAGTAGTTCTTCTGTAGAATTTATTTTAGAAAATATTTACAGCTGGAGGAATCAGCTGATAAACGGAATAAAGGCAGACACAGAAGAACTGATATGATAATATAGTGGTGAAGGATGTATTGCATTCTACTACTGGGCTCTACATCTGTTCACTTTTATTGTATAATCTTGTCTCATATCCTCTTGACTATTGAGTTCTTAGGGCAATTTTGTTGCCTTGGTAACCAACAGACAAAATAACACAACTGACAAACTACATGCTAGTGGCTGTGTGAGGCTGTTCGTGCTTTAGTTTGTTGTGTAACCTATATTTAATCAGGTAGTCTTATTGAGATCAAGATATTTTTTGCACCAGAGACCTGTGCACAACATGAAAAGAAAAACATATTAAAAAACAAATTAAAATGACAAATACATACAATCAGCATAGCCAGATACAACAAAAGCCACGCAACATCATAGACAATCACAGATGTCAATAAATAGAAGTTTAAAGTTTACAATCGGCCAGAGAAATTAGATGTTTATGTTTTAAAATCATCTGTAATTTATTCATTTATGAGATGCAAAGTAGTGGAAGGTAGTTTTCCCAAGTTTTAAGGGTAACTACAGTTGAACAGGCCTGAGATCTGTGGTTTTAAATTTTAGAGAAGTGATACACTGTGGCACGTTTTTCAGGGGAAAATGATGCAGCTAAGTTTTCTTATTGGTGCCAGTTACAACCAACCGACCTTTAACGGTTTTAACTTCCTGTACTGAAATGCAAAATGCAATGATAAACTGCATCAAGTTGATTTTAAGGTGGAGCTATCTCTGTAGTCAAGCAGACATGATGGTTAACGTGCTTACAGTGACAAAGCTAACATGCTGATATTTAGAAGGTGTATAATGTTTAACTTGTTACCAATTTGTCTGAGACACAAAGATCTCCAGATCGTTTCACTGGTACCTGAAACAAGCCCCCACAACCACTTTGGTCCACAATGAAATATCAGCAGCTATTGTAATGAAAATAATTGTAATGAAATTTAGTATAAACGTTTCACTCACTTTTCACCATATATGCACTATTTATTTTATTTGAGTGTCCAAATTCTAAATGTGTTTAGAATGGTCCCTTCAAAAAATCCAACAGTGATTGAAAAGAAATGAAGGCAGTAATTTGAAAAGAGTGATGATGCAAAATGACAATGATTCATATTTTTCTGAGAAATGTCCTTTCTTGAGTAGTGAATGTGTGAACAAGGGTGACCGCATCCTTTGTCTCATGACTTAGTGTAGTACAGTGTTGGTTTCAGTTTGAAATCTGGTTTACAGATTCAACTATTTTGCTGGATGACTTTGATTTTTCTTTTTGATTTTGCACAGCTCCCTTCATCAAGTGCCTTGCTGCTTCGTGCAGTGCTAATGATGGTCTGACCACAGCCTTAATTATACTTCATACTGTCACAAGTGTGACTTCAGATGACCAGGATTAGATGACCACATGACAATTGTGATGTTACCTGTCCTCATGACTTCTTTTCATTTACAGTCCAGCAGTACTCAGATGTTTTACTTAAGTAACAGTAGCAATACAATACACAGTGTAGAAATACTGCAATCAGAATATTAAACTATTGGCATCATAGATAATTGATATACCAAATGTGAAAGTACACATGTACAGACTGACCATTTTAGAATAATGTACTGTATATTATATTATTGGATTATACTATTAATGCATCAATAAAGTGTAAATCTCTTCAATGCTGCAGCAGGTAAATTTAATTACTTTACATACTGCTGGATAGCTTGTGACTTTTAACCTGTAATAATACTGTAATTGTCCTTATTGTATTAATCTGAATCTGCAAATTAACAAATGTTAAAAGTAAAAAGTACAATATTTTCCTCTGAATTTTCTGAAAGTAGAAGTATAAAGTAGCAAAACATGGGAGTACAAGTACCTCAACATTGTATTTGAGTACAGTACTTAAGTAAATGTATATGTTCCACCACTGTGGTCCAGTCTCACATCTGTAACATCTCGTTGCACAAGACATCTGTACAACACAGTTCGACTGATATTTACAGGAGTGTAGGAATGAGGTGAATAGTGGAACCAAGGAGCCCAACTGAGAGCCCCAAAAAACTCTGTAAGCACTTTCCTATTTACTTTACAGGGAAAATGGTCATTTGTAATACCATCGTAGTAGTAGCCATCATTCATTATACATTATAAGTATTGTACAATATTATTTAAATTATTATCATTTAATATGCTTGTCACACACAATGTTTCTAGAGTAATCACTTTTGATATTGATTAGTTTATGATTATTTTACCATTGGGGTGTGATGTGTGTTGTGAGTTTTACTGATGGAAATAAACCTTCAGCAGCATCAGAAATAGTTGGAAACTAATTCACCTTAATTCTGCAAGTAACAGTTTTATTATTTTATTATGAAATACATTAAAACAGTAATGTCTTATTGTCCTATACTATATAATGTATAATGAAGAGCTAAAACTGATGTAAATAATGTGTGGTAATCTTAAAACTCACAGTGAAAGCTTCTCACAGTAATGACAGTATGTTGAGAAAAGAACCTGAAATATACTGATGTTTTAGATTGTATAGACTTTCTTAAATTCGTTTTACTTTAGAAAGAATTTCCCATGATAAGAAATGCAGATGCATGGGCTCACACTTGTTGACTTAGTTATTCATACAGGTGTGGCAACGGTAGAGGGGCCCACTGAGACTTTACATCTACAGGGCTTAGATTTTTCTGATACACCACTGGATATTTATTATGTTGTTTGTCCATTTGTTGTTTCTCAAGCAGTATCCTGTAGTTGTCGAGTATGAGTCTGTCTCGTCGTTCAGACAGTAAAATCAGATTACAGCCACAGGCTCCTTTCACACTATAGTGATAACTGAGGAGGAAACACCCCGGGCGAGCGCGCGCACACACACACGCAAGCACGCACACAAGAAGCCGTGTGCACACCCTCGCGCACTTATTTAGGGCGGACATTGCAAGGGTGAAAAGGAAACACCGTTATACATACACACACACGCACGCACGCACACACACACAGAGTGGGAGGGAGGGAAGGTCTCAGCGCGCTCGGTTCTCAGTTTCATTAACTTCATCTGAAACTCAGATGAACTAAGACGAAGTTTAGTGTTGACAGATTTTTCGCTTGAGTTTTTTCGATTTTCGATTCATCACTTGTATGTCTGTCAGAGAATCTCGGAGCCTCGTGCGCTCTTGCCTCGCGGTGATGGACAGTCGGTCCACGCGCTAGACGGTTAACGGATTGAGGAGGAGCAACAGGAGGTTTCACGACCGAGTCACACCGGGACCAAGGAGGATTTTACGGACTTTTCTGACACAAACTGCGGCTCTTTTGATTCTGTTTGCCAGGAACTGATTAAACATCTACTCGGTTTCGACAGGAACCACAGTTTGACCCGATAAATCTGCTGTCTGAACGGTACCGTAAACTCCCAGTTACTAAACCACCAGAGAGTTAGTCAGTAAATAAGTCATGAAAAGTTTTCAGTCAACAGTCATTTTCTTCTTCGTTAGTTTCTGTACCGTTTGATTAAAAAAAGAAGGTGTTTGGTGTTGTAGACATTTTAAAGACAGAACCATTGGTTGATTAATCGAAATAAATCTAAACAAACTGATGATAAATAAATAATCCTGACTCACGTAAAAATAATCAATTTCCAGTAAATCTCTGTTATTGGACTTTTACAAATTAGAAATGTTTTTTCTAGGCCATACCTAAAAGTATGGCCCTGGGCAGTTTTTTTATATATATCGTCAGTCAGTGTGTTCATCCTGGTCAATCTGTCTGGTATCACATCAAAGTAGATCTGAAACAGTCTGCCGCTATTTTGATATTGTATCAAGCCAAAATAGTGAAGAAAAAGTTAAACATTTTGTGAATATCTTTTTTTTTTTTTTTTTTTACTTTGGTTGAATGAAAGGACATTTGAAGATGTTATACCCTCAGGGTTTTTTTTTAAGTAATAGTTTGATTAATTTAAGGAGCACTCATTGTTAGACAAGCTTCTTCTCACTATCTGGATCATTTTAGAGTCCTTGAACTGATTTTCTACTCTCTGGTAACAAAAATAATAACAATAACTCCCTTTGTATTATACCTTTCAAGCCCAAAGTTCTTCTAAAAATAGGCTAGAGACAATTAGCAGAGAATAAAATGTGAATTAAAAACTACTAACAATAAAATGTTTAACAACAAAAAATGGACGAGTTAAAGCAATAATTAAACATTTTGGGGGTGTTATCCTTGGACAGAGCTAGGCTAGCTGTTTCCGCCCTAAGCTAAGCTAACGGGCTGCTGATGTTAACTTGTGAAAATGCCCATTCTAATTTCCCACAGCATATAGAGATGTATTCATATACAGCTTTACAAAGATATTCAGTTTACATTCACCCATGACAAAGAAAAGTTGTTGATGATTAATTTTTGATAGGCAGTTTACTATTCAATTAATTCACTAATTGGTGTACCTCTAATACTCTGTATTGTCTTGTTTTAGCTCTTTTTCATTGAGTGAAATATTCCAAGCTTAGACTCCATGTTTTTTATGGCCACTCCATTCCATCAAATAGACATATTGTAGTTGTTTTGTGAATCCTTTTTTTACACCTGTCTCCAAAATTCATCCTGATTTTGGTGTACCTGTAAAGAATTTGGACAGTCAATATGAGATTGTAAAGATGGAGATGGAAATATCAGAAACTGATGATTCTTGTTATTTCTCTGGATTTACAGTTTTGATTGTTGATTGGTTTCTCTTTGGTGTCCTGCAGTTTGTCCGCCATCATGTATCCCTCAGCGGTCAGCGTTTTTGTGCACTGCAGTTTCGTACTGGCCCTCATTCAGGTCCTGGTGCTGGTCTGTCCTGCAGCAGGATACAATCTGGATCAGGACCACAGTCTGGAGTTCAGAGGTTCCCCCTCCTCCATGTTTGGATACTCAGTCCTGCTGCATCACCACAGAGCTCATAACTGGTCTGGATATTTAATTTCATCTGATAATGATCTGTGATTGATCCTCTGTTGATCTACTATTGACCCTCTGTTCTACTGTTGATCTCTTATTCTTCCACTACGGATCCTCTCCATTTGATCTGCTTTATCCTGTATTGATCTACTGTTGGATCTTTTTTGATCTGCTTGTAGATCCTCTCTTGATCCTGTATTGATATGAACACTACATCTCTTGTTTCCTTGAATGGCAGGCAATACTGACTGTAAAGTTATGAAGTCATGTTATATTTATCAACTAAATTTCATGGGTTTCAATGTGTTATATGAAACGTCTGAAAGTTTGGGCATGATGATATCACAAATGGTGGGCTTTGGCAACTGGCCAGTCACTGCTCACATCACCATTGCAGAAAATGACATTGGATATTGTTGTTACCATAACGGGCTGAATTACATTTCAGAGCGTTATGGGCATTCATAATGTTGATAATGAATCTCCTCAGTCATGGATTTTGACCTTAATAATCCTGTTTGTGTGTGTGTATGTGCATGTGCATGCTAATTACGCAGTTTTTGTCAATGACAGAAGCTCTTTGATGCTTCACACACAGATGCCATTCAGACACTGAGCAGGCACACAGATCTTGTCTAACTCACTCTCTCTCCCTCAGGTTGGTGGTTGGAGCGCCAGTCGAGAACTCAACCTCCAATCCGTCCATTCAATCTCCAGGAGCTGTTTATCGCTGCAACATCAGTGCTGAGTCCCGTCACTGCCATCGCATGCCTGCTGGTGTGTTTTTATCTCTGTGTTTCTGTGTCATTTTCTTCAGCATTTGAGAGACTATGGTTGTGTTCAGACTGACTTTAGTCTGGTGTGAAAAAATGCTGCCTCCTCACCATCATTCATCTGAATGGCTGATGAGCCTTTGAGCTTGTGAATCTATTATTCAGATTGAACTTTGGGGATCAAATGAAGCAGTGTGTCCACACCACGCACCCCCTTGATTTCTTTGGATGCAGTGTTGTTGTTGGTCTGACCACACAATCAGTAATCTGACATGTTGATATTTTCATATCAAGAACACAAAAGTCTTGTCTTGCTCATGAGATATATCCATGGGACCCAGCTGTCTACTCTGTAACACTATCAGCTGGTCAGCTTTGGCCTTCAACAGTAAAGCACCACTGACTTACCTGTGAAGGCTGCATGTGGGAAACAGTGTAAACAGAATTTGTGTTTGTGTGTGTGCAGATGTGCTGAGCTGTGGGAAGACGTGTGAAGCAGAGAGTGATCACCAGTGGCTGGGAGTCAGTCTGTCCAGACAACCTGGCGACAAAGGAGGACATGTCATGGTGAGATACCCACTTTCTCTCTCTCTCTCTCTCTCTCTCTCTCTCTCTCTCTCTCTCTCTCTCTCTCGCTCGCACACACGCACACACGCACACATACACACACACACACACACACACACACACACACCTCCAGAAGTGAAGAAATGGGATGGACGAACACAGGCATTATCTTTTTGATTTGTTCACTGGTCTCTCCGGCCCATTCTAATGAAAAAGGGAAAACAACGCATTGTATCAGCATTTGCAGGCCATACAGGATTATGATGCACTCCATCAGTAGAGCATCATGAAAACAACACCGGCCCTACATTGTCAGTCAACCACTGCAAAGGGAAATAACAAAGGCCTAAGGCTTAGATTCTGTTTCCACAAATGTGCCCAAAAACGGTTTAATTCTCCCTTACACAAAAAATTAGCGAAAGACGAAGTAAACCTGTGAGAGAACTGAGACGTGTTCTTCCTTCATATTAATACTTCACAACTCACAGTTCTCCAGCAGTGACGCAGTATATTTGTACCCCTATCCATGCTGGTCCTGTCATGTGGATAAAGGCATTACCAATTACATTAGCCATTACACAACAGAGAGCTTATGTTTGACAACTCCAAAGGCATCCCCAGAGATGTTAAAGATTTCCATGTCTGAGAGGAGCTTTTAATTTAGTGATTGGGCAAAACTATCTACAGTACCAACTGCCTCCTCGCTGTCATTGTCTCTATTACTCAGTGAGTGAAAGATTACTGCAGGGGTAAAATAAATACACAACAGGGAGGAAGTTCACACACACACACACCCACACACACACACACACATAGAGTCTGTCATGGGAACAACAACAGTCCGCTGCTAACTTGTGATTGTGTTATTGACAGTAATGAGTCCATGTCACATGTTTCACACACGTGTGTGTGTGTGTGTGTGTGTGTGTTTGTGTGTGTGTGTGTGTGTGTGTGTGTGTGTGTGTGTGTGTGTGTGTTTTCAGGCATGTGCACACCGCTGGAAGAACATCTACTACTCCAAGAAAGACAGTCAGAACCACAAGCTGCCTAACGGAGTCTGTTATCGCTATGGCAGTGACCTGAGTCACGGCCGACCCATGATCCCCTGCTATAGAGGTACACACATGCACACGGACTGGTTTTCTCACTGGTGTGTGAAAGTTATTAATAACGATAATGTAAGAAAACATATTATAGCTCACTTCGCCAGAGCTACTTTGTTGATCCTGTCGCTCTTGACAGTGAAGCTGTGAACATGTGAACAGATTCAGATTCAGGTGCTAACTCTCTATAGTTTCATCACCATGAGCCATTTCATGTTAGGAAATTTCATTGTCATGTGATTCACGGTTATTATAAAAATATCAATTATGGCCACTTTAAACAATGTGCCACTGTTCAGATGCTTTATGACCCCTCTGCAGGTTTTGAGATTTTAAATAGTCCTCGCTTCTCTCAAATGTGTGTGAAAGCAGCTGCTCAGCCGTAGAAGGAAATCATTTGGGTTTTATCTTCATATTTGTTTGTTCACCTTCACCTCTCAGCATGTCTGTTTATCGCTGTATGCCTATTGCAGACCACCAGCGGAAGTTCGGTGAAGATTATGGGTCATGTCAGGCCGGTATTTCTAATTTCCTGACAGAGGTCAGTAGCACAAAGACAACAAATTTATTTAAACTCCTGTCTTCTTCTCTGTTTTCATTAGCAGACTGAATGTGATCTGTCAGTGCTGTTTTATTCAAAACTCCAGAAGTGTATCATGTTTTTAAAAGCTGGAGCCAACAGAAGCCATGTGCTTTTTTCTTGTTCCTCCTAATGCTGTCGAAACAAAATGTCAAATAGCATTTTCACCATTTTAGAAAAGAGAACAAGTCTTCTCAGTTTCCTGTGTCTAAAATGAAGACTCACAATTTCAATTTTAGAGCAACACATGTTAGATAAACTGAGTTTGTGATATGTCACATGCATGATATAGATATATTAGAGCTTAAATAGAGATGAAGGGCACGCTTTATGTTGGAGACTCTGACATCTGCCTGTCTCTATCTCTCTCAGGATCTGATCATCATGGGGGCCCCAGGGACGTCGTACTGGATGGGCTCAGTCCTGGTGTTTAACACGTCCAGTGGAGGGATGTCAGTGTACCTTGATGATGACACTGGATCAGTCAGCTTCGGAAGCTACCTGGGTAGATGATACACCTGCTACTACTACCAATATATCATTATGTCTGTTCTTATGTAGCCGCTGCTGGTACTACTGCTGTACTATAGCTATGTACAAGTACCGCCAACACTGTATAGTTACCACTACTGACTGGGAATATTGCTCATGGAAAACGATGATGAGTTGAAAATTTTAATGATATAAAAGAAAGAAGACGTTTTTTTCTCTCTGCTCACACACTGCATCACTGAAATATTTTGAAATTTATTTTGACATCGAAGCCATAATCAATCACTATCCTGAGTGCAAGGGACGCTCATCCCCAGTTCTGTCTGGTAAATCAATGAATACTTGTCACTTAATTAAGTTAATTAACATAGGTTAAGAATTATGCTGCCTCTTTTATTTATAAGGGTCAAAAATTTTGTCAATCTGTCCACAACCATAGGTTGTTGATTGTTTTTATTCCCAGTTTGCCGACATGTCTGTTGCATGTCTGAACGGGGCTTTATTAAAGGTAATGAGGCTTTTAAAAGCTTGTTTTGTGCTAATGTTGGTCTGAATACATGTTACTGCAATTGCAAACCAAAACTTTCTTGGCGCTTGACATCAAAAACATTCACCAGGAGTCTTTTTGTGAATCACATATAAGAAAGGTAATGTATTTGCCTTTGAGATTAAGTGATGCTTTATTATCACTGCTATTGTTAAATAAGTAGTGGTATACAAAATATGGATGTATTTAGCATGATTGTTGCCACCCCATATCGAAAAACAACTCAGAGATTAACACTCAACACTGCAGCTTGAAGAGTTTTTTGGTTGGTACTTTTTGGTTGGATGATGTGGAGTGATGGTGCAGAGAAAGGACAGAAATGAGAACAGAGAGAGCATGGTTTTTTCTTACTGTGCATGAGTTGCTTATCTCAGTTTCAGTCAAAGCTCTGACTTTATGGGAAATTATTTTAGAAACAGCTGCAGCTGTGCTATTTCTTTTGATCCCACTACACTGGTGTTGTACAGTGATTCTTTCTCCTACCTGACTTTTTGTCCTGAACATTTTATCTGAAGGTCTGCAAGTTTTAAAAGGCATTCAATTTTGTTTTATCAGGTATTAACAAGATATTGAAAATGTATTTACAAAAGTCTTAAGCATTTCCTGGCTACTGTAGGCAGTAATGTTTTGTGTCTGCCTTTGAGCTGTCGGGAGATGTTATAGATAGTATGAGACCATTTTCCCATTAATGGAAAGGGCTCTCATATTTTTGGAAAAAGTAGCACAAGAGTAGCACAGACCACTTTTCCATTAATGGGAAAATCGTTCCCAGTAATGGAAAAGTGGTCTTATACTTTTGGACCCCACTGTACATCTATAAACAAAATGGGATTGTTTTGACAATGGATTGCACGTAGGAGGCTGTTCAATCATTTTTTGTGGAGTTTCAGTCGGCACCATTAGACCTGTAGCAAACACAGTCACTACTGCCAGCTACAGTAGCTAGGAAGCTCTTTGTCTCATGGGCAAGTATTAACTTTTAGCAAAAACCTAAATTAATGAATCATTCTTTGTAAGTTAATTCATCCGTCCATTTTCTGCTGCTTATACAGGTCCAGGCTGCATTAATTTAATGAACTATATTATTAGGAATTATTATTATATTCTGCTGGGAAGTACTGAAAAAATTTGATAATATATAATATATAATAATAATTCTAGTCTCTGTTTTCCCTACTGGTTTTTCATCATACTTCCATAGTTTCCATAGCAAGTATGATTGTGAAACAGACATTAAATTGCATTGTATATGGTGTAAAAAAAACAGTATTAAAAAGTCTTAAATTTAACTTGGTGAATGTTGCAGAAACCTTGTGTATAAAAACAGATTTAAAGAAACATGTTTTTTCTTCAAGACATAAACTGAATCACTATGAAATCTGGCTTCTCAGTATTCTGCAGTCCTGAACAAGATAAGCAGGAAGCTGAGCAGAAAGGTGTGATGTTCTTAAGCTGAATGCCCTTTTTCTTCCTATCTCTGCTGAAAGAAAACATCTTTTGCCACCATGTCAGAACTGCTGACTAACTAACAGGCACAGTAACAACAGATGGCACTGCAAAATGTTGGCTGTTCAGTTATAATGGGAGTTGAAACTTTAAGTGTGTGTGGGTATGCTCGTGTGTGTGTGTCCACAGTGGTTTGTAGTCAGTAGTCAACACAAACCAGCAGAAAGTAATTGGTCTGATGAAAGCTGTGGTTGTTTGTGAAACTTTCTCTCATACCCACACACACACACAGACACACGTGTGATTTTTTTTGTACTTTGGACTTGTATTCATTTCCTTTTCATTTCCTTGAAACTTAACCTCAACAATAACCGCCTTATGTCAAACCCCAACCTTAAATGAAGTCACGAACAAAGTAACTTACAGTCTTATTGGGCAGTTTTCAGGTTGATGTACTGTGTAAAATCTCTCTAAACAACATTCTCATACTGTGCGGCCGTCATAATGCAGATGAAAAAAAGACAAAGATTCATTCTTCATTTGGTTTGCTTTCACTTATTACCATGTGCTCACTGCCACATTAAAGAAATCTATTTGGGAAAATAGGCCTATTCACTTTTTTACAGGAGACTAAGTTAAAGATTTATACTACTTTCATGTCTGTGCAGTAAATACAAAGCTACAGTTAGCAGCAGGTTAGCTTAGCATAAATGCTGGAAACAGGGGTAAACAGTACTGTTGTAGTATAAGCTAAATACTTAAAGTATAAAAAGTGAAAGGTAGTGGTTGTTCAGTAAAATGTTTCATGTGACTGAAATGTAAATTAAATATGACATTATAAAATTGTCAATATTGATGCATCAATGTGTAAGCAACATTTTACTGTTGGAGCTGGTTGAACTGGACCTTGTTTTAACTACTTTATATACAGTACATCTAGCTTGTTTAGTCTACTGGTTCTCACCTTAGGGCAAGGCCCCTCCAAAGGGTCCCCAGATAAATCTGAGGGGTAGTGGGGCGATTAATGGGAGAAGAAAGAAGTAGTACAAAGTTCTGTTACACAAATTTATTTTTGTTAATGTTTATTATTTGTGAAATATTGGATAATTTTACATGTTTATGCCACAAACAGTTATTTTAATGAAACTGTCTGAGAAGTTGAGAGGGAACTTCTAACAACTCTGAGACATCTGAATGTTTGAATGTGACAAGAAGTACAAGTAGAAAGTAGCACAGAATGGAAATATTCAAGTTAAAGTACCTTTCCACTACTGCAGAAGTCTGACTATGCAACATTGTGTCCTGCTGTTGATCAGGTTACTCTGTTGGAGCCGGTCACTTCCTGAGTCCTGCTACTGTGGAGGTGGTGGGTGGAGCTCCGCAGTACAACCAGAGGGGCAAGGTAGAACCAGGACCAGTTTGTGTTGTAGATATTTTTGCGATGTCAAGATTCATCACTTTTGATAAAAATTGTTGTCGATTTTATTTTGATATCTTGTATTGTGTTATGTGATGTGCAGGTCTTCATCTTCACTGTAGTGGAGAACATGTTGCGTGTAATCTCTGAAGTGTCCGGAAAAGAGGTAAGCAACCACTTATCCTTAGATAGATAGACAGATAGATAGATAGATAGATAGATAGTGTGTGTGTGTCTCTGTGTCTGTAGCTGGGAGCTTACTTCGGCTCCAGTGTGTGCGTGGTGGATCTGAATGCAGATGGTTTGTCAGATCTGTTGGTCGGTGCTCCCATGGCAACCGGCGTTACCAGGGAGGAGGGACGAGTCCACGTGTACATCAACCAGGGCCAGGTGAGTGCACACACACAAAAATGAACACATAGTCTATGCCAGCAGTTTTCAAAATGTGCTTGAGCTACATTTGGATAGAAATCAAGGGTTTTTTAATCTGAATACTGACTTGTTTGTGCATATCTAACTTTGTATTTCTTCACATGTGAACCCATTACGTTCTGGAAACCTGCTCAGAATTAATTTGTTGTTTTGAATAGGCCTTTCCCACAGTAGATATTTTGACTTGTCATTGCATGAACAGTGTTATTAATAACATTAACAATGGCTCTGTTCAAGTGTCCCAGTAAAGTCATGGCAGTGCGACAGTGAGCCAGTGATACCAGGACCCTGAAACTGAGGCAGCTAAATGGAATCTATAGCTTTCGTTAATGCTAATCACATCTGTGATTTTTCCCACTGTGACGTGTGTTTTCTCACAAACTGACTCTGTCTCAGGCCAACTTGTCGGAGGCGGCGTTTCAGCTGACTGGCAGCGACGCCTATGCAGCCCGGTTTGGAGAGACCATTGCTGACCTGGGAGACCTGGACGATGACGGTTACCATGGTAGCTATCACACCTGCACAGCCTGACCTATCAGCATACCACTTGCAAATACTAGTTATTGCTACAATGCTGCTGCTACAATATTACTGTGACTATTACTGCTGCTAGTACCATTACAAAAATATAAATACTACAAAAACTTCTATAATACTTGCATGACTCCTGCTGCACTAAACAACCAAAAACACATACCAAGGGAGCACAACCCACACTACCAACAGTAACTGCCAATTTGTGATAACTAAGAGACTGTCACTACTCGACGCCCTCACACAAAGAGACCCCTCAACGTACGTATGTGTGTGTGTGTGGGGTGGTGATGTGTGAGGGGTGGAGGGTGTTATTAAGTTCATTACATCTGTAATGACAAACTGTTGCTGCTGTTTAACTGAACCCTGAACCTGCCTTCTAATCTGCCACTGCTAGATAAAAGGCTCTGTGTGTGTGTGTGTGTGTGTGTGTGTGTGTGTGTGTGTGTGTGTGTGTGTGTGTGTGTGTGTGTGTGTGTGTGTGTGTTTGTTTGTGTGTGTGTTTGTGTGTGTGTGTGTGTGGGTTCCAGTAGCTCACTCTTTGTTTAAAAAAAAGCAGATTAACTTTCAGACCTTCACATCTTCAAAGGCCTCAGGTTAAATATTAAAGATCAATGCTGGTGTTTTCTTGGTGTTTTCTCATGTTGATGTACAAACCCTGAGCACTTTCATCCTGCTGACCATTTTCCTACAGGGTGGAGCCACAGTTTTAGAAACACAGAGGTTTTAAGTACAAAACCTTTACCCCCTCCCCCCTCAGATAATTTGTAGCTGACTCCTAAACAGAAGGACTTTTAATTTTATTATTTACTTGTATTTTTTTAGCCACACTAGCAGCTCTATGGAGGGCAATGTCAGTCTTTGGTTCATTATCTCGAGAGGATGAATCTGTACGACTTTGATCCTCTTTTCATTTAGTGCTATTAGCAGATCAGACTTTTCCTTAGCTACTTCAACATCTTCTTGAGGGATTGGTACAAAATTTTGTTTAGGTATTTCTGGTTCTAAGGTGATGAGACTTTGGTGATCCCCTGACTTTTTCTCTAGCACCACATGAAATTTGGTTAAGCCATTAAAATTTTAAATTTGTTCTGTAAAGATAAAATACCTGCAAAACTAATGAATTCCCATCAGCATTAGCTGTATTTTGTGTTTGGTGCTAATTAGCAAATTTGCTAGCATACTTCCATGCTAAACTAAGTTGCTGACAGTGCTAAACAAACATGCAGTATGTTTGCTGCTAAACATTAGCATGTGTTTAGTATAGCCTAACAAAGCTGCTAGTATCGTTGTGGACTCTTAGTCTTGTAAAGTAAAGTAGTAAATTATTTAAGTAAGTGGTCAGCATTTTGGAAATACACTAATTTGCTTTCTTGCTGCAAGTTAGATGAGAAGATTGATACCACTTTGATGTCTGTACGCAAAATGTAAAACTGCAGCCACGAGATGGTTATCTTAGTTTAGCATAAAGACTGGAAACGTAAACAGATAGGCTGATTCTGCTAGGTAGCAAGTCCTCACTAATACAGTAACATTTACTTCCATGTGTATTTGTAGATGTGGCGGTTGGTGCACCACAGGAAGATGACCTAAAAGGAGCTGTCTACATCTATAATGGCAGGAAGGACGGCATCTCATCAACTCCATCTCAGGTACAAACACTGACACAGAAATATATCAGTAATATTAAGCTGCTAATAACACAAACAATAATTAATAATAATAATAATATATTTTATGATTCAACACTTAATTGATATTTGCAGTTTATTACAACTTATTTCTGTTGTTTCATTCATATCAGTATGATCCCCTATTGGAGTCTCTATAGTTCGAAGAGACAGAAATGTAGTTGAGGACAAATCATTACAAGACAAAATGGACAGTTCCTTTAAGACTGTAATAAATCCTAAACCAATCACTGTTCAGACAGAGCATGGGTCTCGTCTGCATTCACTACTGTGTTTCACCGAGCACAGTGAGGATGATATGGTGCTATTTCAGGCAGCTTATAAAGCCATTCTCTAGCTTAATTTTGATTATAAGGGAGAATATTTATGTTAAATTTAATCAGGACTGACTTTGATTTGTAAAATATACAACAATAGAGGGAAATGCCCATCACACTCACCCAGAGCTGACAAGTGACACCTTCGTGCATTTTTTTGTATGACCAACTTTGTTATGTCTGACAATGGTGTATTTGTGTGTTTTCAGAGAATTACTGGATCCACCTTGGGTCATAACCTCAGGATGTTCGGCCAGTCACTGAGCTCCGGCGTTGACATTGACGATAATGGTTACCAGGGTAACCCCAACTTGCACAACGATCATTTCCTGTGTCACAACATCTGCCATATTACATTCATGTACACATTAGATCTGCGTTAAACCAGGTTAAACTCCCTGTGTCTCTGCAGATGTGGCAGTTGGTGCGTTCCTCTCAGACTCAGCTGTGGTTCTCAGGTAAAACCACACTGAAGCTTTATGTTCCAACTGGACTTGTGTACTTTCCTTTCAGTCCAGTCATCATGCTGTAATAATTGCTCTGCATGTGTCCTGTTTGCTGCAGGACTCGTCCAGTGATTCAGGTGAAGGCGTCTCTGGCTCTGCCTGAGCAGATTGACCAGCGGCTGGCGCTGTGCCAAGAACACAAGACTCCAACTGTCTGCTTCAATGTCACCGTCTGCTTCAGTGTCAGGTCCAGACGGTACACAGGAGCTATAGGTACTGCAAACCCGACTGTCGAGTATATGAGACTGGCTGTAGACCCAACCTGCTCATGTTTTTAAAATTATAGGTCAAACCCAATTGACCTGCAATTCTTAGTATTAATTGAAACAATGGGTTATTTATTTCAGATAGAGGTACACAAAAGCAGCTTTTCATTTCTAAGTAACGACCATGAAGTGTTATCAGATTTTTAGCTAAGAAAGCTAACGAAAGCTCCATGGGTTGTGTCTGGCTGACTTTTTAATGTTTTCAGCTGGCTCAGTTTAAAACAAGAACCCTGTAAAAGGATCTTTGATATGCACTTTCTGGCTACATACATATACATATACATATACATATACATATTGTGCTGAAAGACTGAAGGTAAAATATACACCAGGCAAAAAGTCAGCACATTTTCAAACAGGTTGTTTTCACTTTTAAAAGGCTTTTACGATGAGGACTAACAGAGGTGCATGGCAAATGTAATACTATATTTCGAGTAATGTTGCTAGGGGTAATACAACATAGTGGATATTCTTGTCATGAACAGAGCTTTTTTAAATCAACCGCATACACTAGTGTAGTTACAGTACCTTGTACGGTAGTACACAGGAGTTTACAGGAAGCTAGTTGGGTGTTTGCAACTTATGTTTGAGCAGACAAATACACTTGTGCTCATGTGTTTTCGTTTTTTTGAAAAGCTAAACAGATGTGACGCAACAAACTCTAACAAATATAGAGTATATCTCGCTACATTTCTCACCCTGTATACTCCGCTTCAACATGTGGAGAAATCCACAGCTTGACAGGCCTTCAGTGTTTAGTTATTTCTCAGTTGTGACTGGGAATCACTGGTAGAGGAGTTTAGCAAATGGTCACTTATATTGTTCTTAAGAGTGTATGATTTACCTACTGATATTTAACATTGTTCCTCTCCTCTTCAGAGCTTCAATATAATTTGACCTCTGACCTCCTCCATAAGCCATCCTTCCCTCATCGTTTCTATTTCCATGGTAACGGGTCGTCTAATAGCACAAAGGGTCGTGTGAGAGCACGACATGGCCATGTCACTTGTACAACACATGTGGCTCACCAAAGGGTAACTCACTCAAACACCTCCAAAAAAAAACATACAATGAAATACATTTAACATGAGCCTAATAACATGTTAATGACTGACAACAATATTTACCTTTTTCTTCCTCCTACAGAAAGACGTGAGGGATATTTTTACTCCAGTCCAGTTTGAAGTTTCCTATAGTCTCAGAGAAACAAAAACCCACAAAGCCTCTTCTAAAACCTTCCCTCCATTAAAACCTATTCTGCAGCAGAGAGCAGGACACCAGAACACCATCACCAACCAGGTACTGACCAATGCTAACACCAACCAGGTCCCAGCTAGTGCTAAGTGTGTACAACTAAAAGTATATGTGCAGTGCTGTTTGTTTGGTTCTCCTACCAGAGCAACAACTTAAACTAACACAGTCAAATTTACCCTCAGTTTCCTGTTGGAGCGGCTTCATTAAATCTGTCTTTCCATCACCAATCTGATCTGTTTTCAAGGGAAGGAAACAGCTAATCTGATGTCAGCTCCACCACACAGACTCATAATGACTTCCTGCTAATCCAGATATAATTACAGCTGCAACATATTAACCAAGATCACTCCACTCATCCTGTGCCCACACCATGTCCCACTGGCTCATACAAACAGAGCAGGAAGAGTGAACATGTAGGAATTTACAGCTAGAGTTAGGCTTGAGGACAATGTTAATCATCTGTTAATCATCTATCTGGGGTCAGATAGATATTATTATTATTATTATTATTATTATTAACGTCATCAGTAAATTCCCTGCCTTTCTCTCTTTCAGACTCGGTTTGCTCGTTCCTGTTCTCTGGTAAACTGTTCAACCAACATGCAGTTGTCAGCTCAACTAGTGCTGCCACAGTAAGAAAGCACATACACACACACACACACACACACACACACACACACACATGTGGAGCAAGGAGTTGTGTGTGAATCGCAAAGAAATACACAGAGAGGAACAGTCTGAAACAACAGCTGTATTGTTTCCTTACTGATTCAGTTAGGACACATAAGTCACACACCGGTCATAGTTTTGATGACCTGTCTTAAATTGTGTTTTAATGCAAAACGAGCCACTCCGTTCTCTAAAATTAACATGGAGGTTTTTCCAGTCAGATGATGCTAATTAGCTGCTGGCTAATTCAGGAGGATCCATTTAGAACAATATCAGTCAGCAGCAGTGCTTTTATCTTCGTTGTAGCTGGACTATGCTGTTATTGTTCAGAAACACAATATCAATATTTATCACAATATAAATTTGAGCAACTGTTTGACATTGTTTTGTGAAATATGCTTATTCACTTTTCTTGGCCAGAGTGAGATGAGAAGACTGATACCACTCTCATGTCTGTGTGTTTTGTATGTAGCAGAAGTCAGGATGTGGTTAGCCTAGCTTGGTATAAGCACTGGAAGTAGGGGGAAACATCTGGCCGACGTACAAAAATACACCTACAAAAACGGCAGATATCATTTTTACATTTCTTTTCTGTGTAGGGGTTCAACAGGTATTATATAATCGGTTAATTGGTGAGTTTCCAGATTTCCAGATAAGCTAACTGTGCAGCCTCATATTTAAAGGACAGAGATGAGAATTCTGTCAAAGTTTTTAGTGTACTTCAGTTTATTTGAACTTGTAGATTCAGAAGGTTAAAATGGCCAACAACTGTATGAGCTGCAAAAACAAAATCTATAAATTCTACAAATATAAAACAAATCTTGTCAGTATAAATTGATAGGTCTTGGAGTGTGAAATGTTTGCAGCTAAGAAGGTTATATTATTTCACTCTATACCATAAAATAACATTTCACAATGAAATAACTGTGCCAATGTAAAAATGGATGAGAGCTTTATGTTTTAAGGTTGTTATGACTCTATACCAACTCAGTTTCCTTTTGAAGTTACTTTCGTCTGACAGATGATACCAGAACGTGTGTTGTGTTAAGCAAACTTTGCATATTCTTCAGAGCTCATTTTGAAAAGTGGGCTGCCATATGACACTATAGGGCAGTACTGTTAGCAATGTTGTCCTTGGATTCCATCACATGATTGTTTGTTGCTATGTCATCAAGCAATGTAACTTATTAACAGTATATCAGTGTCTCATTTTCTTATTGGGGAAATGTTTCTATACAAGTAAGCGTTAAAATTGTTTCCACAACCCTAGCGTTCGTTGTTAGTAGTCAGCAGCTATATTTTGATATTGGTTGTGGCTGGACCATAAGCTCTGTTGTTGTTTTCTCTACTCAGTCAGCAGGACTACTTCGCTCTTGGCTCCGGACAGACCATCATGTTGAAAACATCGCTGTTGAACTCTGGAGACAATGCATTCCTGCCACGTCTGACACTCCAATTCCCAAACAACATCCACTACATTAAAGTCCTGCAGAACGTGAGTTTACCTCATGCATCTATAAATTCGTTGTCCCAAAAAATTGACTTGATTACTACTTGACTATTTAGTATTGAAAACAGGGTTTGATTATTTTTTTTAAATCTTAAGGATTATAACCTTAACAACACAAATAACTAACAAACTGCCTTTGCTAATCTGTGTGTGCAGCAGGAGAATGTGGTCAGTTGTGATGTCACTCAGGAAATCAACAGTACAATGGTGGTTGTTGACTGCAGCGTCACCAGCCTCCTCCTCCCAGCCCACAACCAGGTAAGCCTCAGCCAGTTACAGACTGTTACTGAAAATGTTTTATGACTCGAGTAACGTCTACATGTTAGCTACTCTGTGAGCCTGCACTTAAATACAGTGGCACTTTGATGTAAATGCTAATGTCAGCACATTAATATGCTCACAAGCACAATGCTAATTATGTTCACCATGTCAGACGGACATGATAACATTTGCTGATTACTGCAAACTGAAAGTACAGCTAAGGCTGATGTGAGTGTTATTAGTTTTGCAGGTATTTGGTCGTAAACCAAACTATTGGACAAAAAAGATTTTTGATCTGTTGATAGCACTTGATGAGAGGCTACACACTGCTAGCATGGCTAACAAAGACAGTTCACTAACACTGGTCCACAGCTCAGTATCACTCAAAACTGCCTGTAGGTCAGGGATGAGATCCAGTGTGTCTGTACTTTCTGTTCTCTATCTATCAAGATACTTGCTATATTTCCTGTGTCTCAGTTTTTTTGAGTAAATATTGTGAAAGAAACTGTTGAAATATCCAAGTTCCCCCTAGAATCACACAGAGCAGCAGTTTTAAGTCGTAATTTCCATCAACATCTGAAAACTTAGAGATTAACATGAACTCAATAATTAAACTTCACAGATGAAGACAAAAAAAGGACATTAGTTTAGAGTTTACAGTGAAGCAGGATGAGTGAGACTGAAAACCATTTGAAATTAATAAAATTTCCTGTTTCTGGTAGTTGAACATCAGCTTCCTTTTGGATGTGAACCAGAACAGCACAGCAGGTGACATCAACATCCATGTTAACACCAGCAGGTAAGGGCACGCTCCCTACAAAAATCATTTCTCAATCCATCTATGCGTTAAAGATTAGACGTTTGCAAGTTGATTATATATTAATGTTTTCTCTTCAGTGATAACTATGAGAGGGAGGAGTATCTCCATGACAACGCCATCAGTCTCCCCCTTCATCTTAAATATGGAGTCAACATCAACATCCACGGGTGAGTTAGCACACAAATGAAAAAATATACAACTTACTCATTTTCATTCTACAATAAAATACAATTCAAGTAAAATATAAAAAACACTCAAGTAAATATGAATATGCTCTATAATAATAATAATAATAATAATATAATAGTCTTCAGAAGATTTAAAAGATGTTGGACATGTGGGACATGATGGAGATGCTGCAACTAAAACTCTGCTGAGTTGGTCCTATTTGACTGCATGTCTGTGTGTTTGTCTGTCTGCAGTTTTGTGACTCCCGACTCTTTTGTGTTTGGAGATGAAGACTTGACTCCAGTTGACTGCTACACTGAAAGATTCAACTACACATACAAGGTAAACGTCAGTCTGCCTCAGGACTTTGTTCAGGTGTGTTCAGACAGAACGCAAAAGTGAATTCTGGACGCTACACAGTCACGTACAAAGTCAATAGAAAGATGCAAGTGGACGTGAACGGACACAAATGAGGCTGACACAAGACTGAATGCAAACACAACGCTTTGACCTTGTCTTCAGCCAATGTCTGTACAGCTGATATATTTCCAAAAAACTCACCACCAAAGGGTAACTCACTCAAAACACTCCAAAAAAAAAACATACAATGAAATTACATTTAACATGAGCCTAATAACATGTTAATGACTGACAACAATATTTACCTTTTTCTTCCTCCTACAGAAAGACGTGAGGGATATTTTTACTCCAGTCCAGTTTGAAGTTTCCTATAGTCTCAGAGAAACAAAAACCCACAAAGCCTCTTCTAAAACCTTCCTCCATTAAAAACCTATTCTGCAGCAGAGAGCAGGACACCAGAACACCATCACCAACCAGGTACTGACCAATGCTAAACACCAACCAGGTCCCAGCTAGTGCTAAGTGTGTACAACTAAAAGTATATGTGCAGTGCTGTTTTTTGGTTCTCCTACCAGAGCAACAACTTAAACTAACACAGTCAAATTTACCCTCAGTTTCCTGTTGGAGCGGCTTCATTAAATCTGTCTTTCCATCACCAATCTGATCTGTTTTCAAGGAAGGAAACAGCTAATCTGATGTTCAGCTCCACCACACAGACTCATAATGATCGCCCTACATCCAGAATATAATTACAGCTGCAACATATTAACCAAGATCACTCCACTCATCCTGTGCCCACACCATGTCCCACTGGCTCATACAAACAGAGCAGGAAGAGTGAACATGTAGGAATTTACAGCTAGAGTTAGGCTTGAGGACAATGTTAATCATCTGTTAATCATCTATCTGGGGTCAGATAGATATTATTTTATTATTATTATTATTATTATATTATTATTATTATTATTATTATTAACGTCATCAGTAAATTCCCTGCCTTTCTCTCTTTCAGACTCGGTTTGCTCGTTCCTGTTCTCTGGTAAACTGTTCAACCAACATGCAGTTGTCAGCTCAACTAGTGCTGCCACAGTAAGAAAGCACATACACACACACACACAACACACACACACACACACACACATGTGGAGCAAGGAGTTGTGTGTGAATCGCAAAGAAATACACAGAGAGGAACAGTCTGAAACAACAGCTGTATTGTTTCCTTACTGATTCAGTTAGGACACATAAGTCACACACCGGTCATAGTTTTGATGACCTGTCTTAAATTGTGTTTTAATGCAAAACGAGCCACTCCGTTCTCTAAAAAATAACATGGAGGTTTTTCCAGTCAGATGATGCTAATTAGCTGCTGGCTAATTCAGGAGAGCCATTTAGAAACAATATCAGTCAGCAGCAGTGCTTTTATCTTCGTTGTAGCTGGACTATGCTGTTATTGTTCAGAAACACAATATCAATATTTATCACAATATAAATTTGAGCAACTGTTTGACATTGTTTTGTGAAATATGCTTATTCACTTTTTCTGGCCAGAGTGAGATGAGAAGACTGATACCACTCTCATGTCTGTGTGTTTTGTATTGTTAGCAGAAGTCAGGATGTGGTTAGCCTAGCTTGGTATAAGCACTGGAAGTAGGGGAAACATCTGGCCGACGTACAAAAATACACCTACAAAAACGGCAGATATCATTTTTACATTTCTTTCTGTGTAGGGGTTCAACAGGTATTATATAATCGGTTAATTGGTGAGTTTCCAGATTTCCAGATAAGCTAACTGTGCAGCCTCATATTTAAAGGACAGAGATGAGAATTCTGTCAAAGTTTTTAGTGTACTTCAGTTTATTTGAACTTGTAGATTCAGAAGGTTAAAATGGCCAACAACTGTATGAGCTGCAAAAACAAAAATCTATAAATTCTACAAATATAAAACAAATCTTGTCAGTATAAATTGATAAGTCTTGGAGTGTGAAATGTTTGCAGCTAAAAAGGTTATATTATTTCACCTATACCATAAAATAACATTTCACAATGAAATAACTGTGCCAATGTAAAAATGGATGAGAGCTTTATGTTTTAAGGTTGTTATGACTCTATACCAACTCAGTTTCCTTTTGAAGTTACTTTCGTCTGACAGATATACCAGAACGTGTGTTTGTTGTTAAGCAAACTTTGCATATTCTTCAGAGCTCATTTTGAAAAGTGGGCTGCCATATGACACTATAGGCAGTACTGTTAGCAATGTTGTCCTTGGATTCCATCACATGATTGTTTGTTGCTATGTCATCAAGCAATGTTAACTTATTAACAGTATATCAGTGTCTCATTTTCTTATTGGGGAAATGTTTCTATTACAAGTAAGCGTTAAAATTGTTTCCACAACCCTAACGTTCGTTGTTTAGTAGTCAGCAGCTATATTTTGATATTGGTTGTGGCTGGACCATAAGCTCTGTTGTTGTTTTCTCTACTCAGTCAGCAGGACTACTTCGCTCTTGGCTCCGGACAGACCATCATGTTTGAAAACATCGCTGTTGAACTCTGGAGACAATGCATTCCTGCCACGTCTGACACTCCAATTCCCAAACAACATCCACTACATTAAAAGTCCGCAGAACGTGAGTTTACCTCATGCATCTATAAATTCGTTGTCCCAAAAAATTGACTTGATTACTACTTGACTATTTAGTATTGAAAACAGGTTTGATTATTTTTTTTTAAATCTTAAGGATTATAACCTTAACAACACAAATAACTAACAAAATGCTTTGCTAATCTGTGTGTGCAGCAGGAGAATGTGGTCAGTTGTGATGTCACTCAGGAAATCAACAGTACAATGGTGGTTGTTGACTGCAGCGTCACCAGGCCTCCTCCCTCCCAGCCACAACCAGGTAAGCCTCAGCCAGTTACAGACTGTTACTGAAAATGTTTATGACTCGAGTAACGTTACATGTTAGCTACTCTGTGAGCCTGCACTTAAATACAGTGGCACTTTGATGTAAATGCTAATTCAGCACATTAATATGCTCACAAGCACAATGCTAATTATGTTCACCATGTCAGACGGACATGATTAACATTTGCTGATTACTGCAAACTGAAAGTACAGCTAAGGCTGATGTGAGTGTTATTAGTTTTGCAGGTATTTGGTCGTAAACCAAACTATTGGACAAAAAAGATTTTTGATCTGTTGATAGCACTTGATGAGAGGCTACACACTGCTAGCATGGCTAACAAAGACAGTTCACTAACACTGGTCCACAAGCTCAGTATCACTCAAAACTGCCTGTAGGTCAGGGATGAGATCCAGTGTGTCTGTACTTTCTGTTCTCTATCTATCAAGATACTTGCTAATTTCCTGTGTCTCAGTTTTTTTGAGTAAATATTGTGAAAGAAACTGTTGAAATATCCAAGTTCCCCCTAGAATCACACAGAGCAGCAGTTTTAAGTCGTAATTTCCATCAACATCTGAAAACTTAGAGATTAAACATGAACTCAATAATTAAACTTCAGATGAAGGACAAAAAAAGGACATTAGTTTAGAGTTTACAGTGAAGCAGGATGAGTGAGACTGAAAACCATTTGAAATTAATGACATTTCCTGTTTCTGGTAGTTGAACATCAGCTTCCTTTTGGATGTGAACCAGAACAGCACAGCAGGTGACATCAACATCCATGTTAACACCAGCAGTAAGGGCACGCTCCCACAAAAAATCATTTCTCAATCATCTATGCGTTAAAGATTAGACGTTTGCAAGTTGATTATATATTAATGTTTTCTCTTCAGTGATAACTATGAGAGGGAGGAGTATCTCCATGACAACGCCATCAGTCTCCCCCTTCATCTTAAATATGGAGTCAACATCAACATCCACGGGTGAGTTAGCACACAATGAAAAAATATACAACTTACTCATTTTCATTTCTACAATAAATACAATTCAAGTAAAATATAAAAAACACTCAAGTAAATATGAATATGCTCTATAATAATAATAATAATAATAATATAATAGTCTTCAGAGAATTTAAAAGATGTTGGACATGTGGACATGATGGAGATGCTGCAACTAAAACTCTGCTGAGTTGGTCCTATTTGACTGCATGTCTGTGTGTTTGTCTGTCTGCAGTTTGTGACTCCGACTCTTTTGTGTTTGGAGATGAAGACTTGACTCCAAGTTGACTAGCTACACCTGAAAGAATTCAACTACACATAACAGGTAAACGTCAGTCTGCCTCAGGACTTTGAATTTAACGG